CTCTCCAGCGTGGCTGGAATGGGGTGAGAAACAACTCAGGCATACTGTTAAGGTGGAGACAGGGTCAGACAGCTCTACCCTTTGCAAAAGAGACCAAGCTACAGTGCCTATAAGCTACCTTTATACAATCTCAACTTTCCATGCAAAAAACAATGGTATTAATTTGGTAAATATTAGGTCTTTCTTCCTTACAAGGTCCTATGTTTTCTGTATTGACACTTGGGCAGAAAAAAAAAAAAAAAACAGCACCTCAAATCGCAGGGCACTGATGATCTTGTGGGAGGGAAACCTATATATGATCAGATGCAGGCATCAAAGTACTGTTTTAGAGATGGAAAGTTCAGCCAGCAAAGAGGAGCAATTAACTCTAAGGATGTACGAAGAACTTTTCAAAAATACAGTGCAAAGGGCTGGGGATGTGGCTTAAGTGGTAGCACGCTCGGCTAGCATGCATGAGGCACTGGGTACGATTCTCAGCACCACATAAAAATCAAATAAAGATATTGTGTCCACCTAAACTAAAAAATAAATACAGTGCAAATGTAGCTAGGCCAAAGGCAGCTTACTCAGTTGGGAGTGCTGAACAGAGAAAAGTCCAAGAGACAGCAATGAGTAGCCTATAACAGGCACACCAGGCACCCAAAACCTAAGCTGCTGTTGCTATAAGTCTTAGAACTTAGGCAAGAGAGTTTGGACTTTATTCTAGAGGCAATGAAAAGATTGGAAGTTTTAGAACAGTAAAGACAACAGATCTTCACCTTACTGCCTGCTTTTCTGGTATCACCATAATAGTTCGACAGGTAAGAAAGGGAAAGATATGAGCTAAGACAAAGGAGCTGTAAATCCACCAAAGGACTACACGTGAGAGGTGTAGGAGAGACAAACAACCAAAGGGAGCACAGAGAGTGGAGAGCAGGCAACTTTTTCACAAGAAACCTGGACATTTTCATAAGACACCTGGACGCTGGACTACTAACATCTGGCAAATTAATAAATACACAGGATGGGAAGAGAAAGCTTCTGTCTAAGTCGACAGCAAAGTTCTAATTGTGAGAGGAAAATGTGGGAAACAGGAGGTGCAGGCAGGGAAGGTCATGAGTTTGAAGATACTGAGCAGCAACTGGTTGTAAAAGTAATCAGGAAGTGAGGTGTGCACAATGTGGGGGCAGCAGGCAGAGGAGATGCACTGTCACTTGAGAAGAAAGTAGGATCAAGGAGACAAGAGAATGTGGCTGGTAGAGAAAACTACAAACACCAACACTAAACCAGAATCAGATCAGAGCCCTTTGACTCCTATTGAAGTACCATGAGTGAACAGGCTCTGTACTAAAAGATGAACTTAAAGCTCTTTAGAATCACTCAATTTGAATAACTGAAATTTATTTCTCCATTCATTTATTTATAGAAGAAAAATTCTCACCTGCCACGGGAATTGCGCCTAGCAGTAGCAGGCTGGCAAGCTGGGCACTGCCATTCACCATCTGGTACTTCATAGAGGGCCGGCCTCAGACAAAACAGGTGGAAGGCTTTATTACACTCATCACACAAGATCAATTTGTCATCCTCACCTGCAAAGAGATAAACTTGTATAGCACTGTGGGCGGCACAGCAGCAATCACTGAGCGGTAAGCCAAGGTGCTGACCCTCAGCTAACACCACAAAAGAACAAACATTCTAGTATAGTGCTACCTCTTTTTCAAAACACAATCATTTTCTGGAAAGAAATGTAGCATAAAACAGACTATTGGTGATTTAGGGATAAGATCTCCTAACTTATAGCCAAAAATCTACCTACAGATAGGACAATTAGTATTTACTAAGAGGCAGCAAAAACCAAGTGATGGCTAGAAACTTTGCTACTCTTCTCTGATCCCAAATGCTTTCCAATGCATGTCTGGTAAGGTCCTCCAAGTCATTTAGTTTCCTGACATCTGAAAATACAATGAATCAGCATGGTCAATTCCCCATCTCTGACTTTCATTCTAAATCAGTTTTACAGCAATTGAATGACATTTTATAGAATTTTTCCTTCTTAGAAATTAAATAACTTTAGCTACTAAGAAGTCAATCACATGACTTTTAGTCATGAAGCTCCTTTTGTACACAGGTGACCTGAAAGATCTCTACAGTGAACATCCCTAAATGCTTTGCTCTGTAGGACACAGTGGTAAAAGGGCCAACTCTGGGCATTCACAGTGAATAAAGAGTGCCCTCTGCTGGAAGCACTCATCTTTTCTTCCAGACAATAAAGTTCCAAGACAAAACTGGATTTCAAATTTTAGATGAACTGGGGCTGGGGTTGTGGTTCAGCGGCAGAGCACTCGCATAGCACATGTGAGGCCCTGGGTTCGATCCTCAGCATCACATAAAAATAAATAAATAAAGATATTGTGTCCAACTAAAAAATAAATATTAAAAAAATTTTTTTAGATGAACTAATTTTGCTAGTTGTGGAAATCTGAAGATTGGAGATCAACTGTTCTTACAGTATACTCTAAACTGAGGAACAGAGGGCCTGCTCTGATCCAACATCATGTGATTTCAGAAAATAGCATCTGACAGACCTTCAGGAGAAAGTAAATCTGCCCCACCATACTAAAAATCTTTGTATACAAAATTCTTTTGGTGAGAGAAGACAGCTTGAGAATGGAGATCTTAGTACCTAGCACACCCACATTAGCAAATTTGATCTAAATGTACCTTTCTTTCGACAAACTTTGCACCTAGCATTTTCTGCTGACATATCCCACTTGATACAAGCGTCAAGCATCCCAAGTAGAACATGCATTCTGGAAAAGGTCTGAGCTTCACGGATTGCTGTCTTCCATTTTTCCAGAGCAGATGCCACCTAAACAAAAGAGCAAACCAGACTGGAATTATTACTACAGTGACTTCAAACACACTGACAGGGGACCAGGAAAGAGTGAAGAAACAAGAGAATTCTCAGGACATTTGTCTCGTAGAGCTTCATCAATCTACCCATTTATCTCATAGAAAAGAAGCCTCTAAAGGGCGGGGGGTGGGGGAAACTTGCCAAAGGTTGCATTCAGATTAAAGGGAGGCAGGGGGAATGGCAGGGACACTCTCTTCCAGTGTTATCCCCTCAGACTTAGTAGCATTTAAAAGTAAGGAACAGGGACTGGAGGTGTAGCTCTGAGGTTCAGTGCAGAAGGCCCTGATTTTTACTTCAAAAAAACAAAAAACAAAAACAAAACAGCTTCTAAGAGGACAGTGAAAGTTGAGCTAGCTTGACTGTGGTGAGAGGCTGGAGGAAGGAAACAAGAGCTGTCCTTTCTCTTTCCTACAGAAACACAAATACAGAATCACAGAAATCCTTATGTGTAAAGACACACACAAACCAATCTATATTTAAACAGTGGCTACTAAAGTTCTAGTGGAGAGTGACTCATTCCTTCTGCTCCAACTTCTGCAGATGTTTCAGCATTTGCTTTGAAAAAGAAGCATAATTTCCTCCCTCCTTCTTTCCTTCCTTCCTCAGAGCTCCTTGGTAAATCTGAGTTCACCAATCAGAGCTGCCTTGCAGTCCCCCCTCTGCCCTACACACACATTCTCTCTAGAGTAGAGATCTGACACACAGTACTGCAGGTTCCTCATCAGAAGAACAGTCTCCTCCAAGCTGGTCTAGAATCCCGTCTCAGCTTCCCCAGGAGCTGGAACTATAGGCTCACTGTGCTGCCCAGCAGGTCAATTCTCACACAGCACTACTGCCAGGCGGTAGGGACTCAACCACAAATGGGTGTGGCTGTCCTCTAGTGGGTAGTCACAGGCAGGGCACTGAGAATACAGTCCCACTCTGCCCAGCACTGCTTTTCACTCCCCAGTTATTTCCATCAATTATGAAACCAGGCATCTACAGCTCATCTGGCCTCTTTACAATTATTTTAGATATCCAAAGAGGTCTTGACAACAATAAACATATTTAACCTTTTTAAAAACAGACTTAAAATATATCATGTAATTAGGTAGCTTTTTGTAACTGGCGATTTTCACTGTATTTCTGGGTTCATTAATATTCAATTTAGTTGCTGAATAATACTCTTGTTCAGATATGAGATATTTTATTTATTCATTTATCAGCTGATGAACATTTGGGTTGTTTCCAATGTTCTGGTTAATTCAGAATGCTTCTGCTACAAACAGTGGCATAACATTCACTTGTCACTAGTTACTTTACATGGGAAGAAAGCTTGCCCAAGGCTTCACAGAAATCTAGGGCCAGGTCTGCAGATTTCTGATCTAATGCTTAACACGTTAGGAGCATCTCCTGATGTCTCCAGAGTTACTCATTAAAGCAGAGACCAACCAGTCTCTAATTTTGAGGGAAAAAACATTAGATATTCAAGTTTCGAGGAAACATTCTAGTCTCTAATTACACACAATTCCAGCCTAGTGCATCAAAAGACAGAAGCAAAACAAAAAATCCATTACATTCAAAGTAATGCTTTTAAACAGATAAGCACTGGCCAGATGAAAACATTTCCATACTTAATACTGGTGGCATCCTATAAAACCCTCCACCTTAAAGTGCTGCGGGAGCCTGCACACATTCTTTTTCTTCTTCTTTTGGTACCAAGGAGATTGAGAACAGGGGCAACATCTCCAGCCCCTTTTATTTTTAATGGTCTTGCTAAGATGCTTAGGGCCTTGCTAAGTTGCTGAGGCTGGCTCTAAACTTGGCATCCCCCCCTGCCTCAGCCTCCCAAGCTTCTGGGATTATAGGAGTACACCAACGGCACCAGGCCTAGATACAATATCCTAGTGGAAAGAAAAATCAAATTCTCTAGCATATAATGTTTAAATATAGTAAATCCCCGGTCAGAAGTAGCTGCAACAGAATCAAGGAAAATGGAGTTTACATCTAAGTCACCATTAGTGCCTTTGTTTAACTAGTGTTAAACAGGCAATTGTCCTATCTTGGCAAGGATATAACAAGACTTCACGTCAGTCTTCCACAAAAGACCATTCAAAATAGAAAAACAGTGCTAGTTACAGTAGCACATACACCAAAAGTAGAACCATACAGAGAATATTTACAGGGCACCTACATAAGAATGATATGAACACTCATAAAATGTTCCATATTATTTGAAATATCACACGGTACCCCATAAATTTGTACAATTATCATGCTAATCAATAACTTTTTAGAAAAAAATTAAAGGAGACAGAAATGCTAACTACTCTGATTCAATCATTACATGCTGCACACATATAATGAATTATAACTATACCCCACAAAGCTGCATAATTAAAATAATGAGCAAATGTAAATTTAAAAAATTAAAACAAAATGAAAAAACAATCAGGTTGTCAGGGCAATGCAACGAAAGTAAAAAGAGAACAACAACAACAAAAACCCAGAATTTTATCAAAATATACATTATCTTTCCCGTTTAATTAAGGGATTTGAGAGACAATCTACTTTCATAAATAAGGAAACTGGGGCCCAGATTAGAGACTGACATAAACTCATGTGACGGCCTAGTGCCAGCTGAAAAAACCCTGGCCTTAGCTAAGTGGAAACTTTTTTTAAAGCAAAGGACAGTGGAAAAAGCTGACCTTGGTGGAAAACTACAAGGCCTAAGGTCATGTTAATGCAGAAGGTCGCTGAGACACTCTGTGGATGTGACTGACTTTCCAAGAGGCCCTACCAACTTTCTATTCCTACACTGGGTCTGGACCTGCAGAGGGCTCACTTTCTCCCTTCTAAGCTAAGATCTAGTCTCAAATGACAATCTAAGAAGGTTATTTCACCATGGGCTTTAGTACTCAAAAAGAGATTAATGGGAATTCTATATCTGTTAGTTAGTTCTCAGGGAGAAGAAAATGTTATAGGAAAAGAGATAGCAGGGGAAAATGGGACTTTTGGCATGGGAACATCCAGGAAAGAAGGAAAGGGAAAGGGAACCAGAAAAATCTACAATTAGGGATCAGTATTCTGCACTAGATAAGCCAGGACTTGTCTTTCAAATTCTTTTCTTCACAAGGTATTTTAAGCAGAAATCTAATGTACAAAACAGACAAAAATGGAACTGCTAGATATCCTCATAAAGGGAAATGGGAGACTACTTCATACTCATTAGCAGAAATGAACAACATGGGGCTGGGATGTAGTTCAGTGGTAGAGTGCTTGCCTAGCATGTACAAGGCCCTGAGTTTGATCCCCGGCACCACAAAAAAACAGAAGAAAATAAAAAACTCACCAGGGAGATCACTACAGACCAACAGAGAAGGGACAAATAATTGCCCAGAATATGTTGATGAGTGCAAAGTACTGAATGTTTGGATAGAAAGATTCCATTCTGTGAAAATCTAATAAAATTTGATTTATTTACAACGAGCATGTTATGTTCAAAACTTTTAAAAAGCCAACAAATTGGATGGATACCTATATAACAACAACAAAAACAAACAAACAAACAAAAAAACACCTGAAGTTGGATCCTTACTTTATCCTTTACAAAACTTAATTCAAAATGAATCAAAGACCTAACTGTAAAATTAGAAGAAAACAGAGACGGGGCTGGGGATATAGCTCAGTTGGTAGAGTGCTTGCCTTACATGCATAAGGCCCTGGGTTCGATCCTCAGCACCACAAAAAAATAAATAAATAAAAAGAAAACAGAGGGAGGAAAGGTCTGTGACGTTTAATTTGGCAATGATTTATTGGATGTGATACCCAAAGTGGAGGCAACAAAAGAAAAAACACAGATGAGATGCATTAAAATATGCATCAAAGAGCACTATCAATAGAATAGACAACCCTGGGAATGAAAAAATACATTTGCAAATCACATATCAGATAAAAGATTAATAGCAAGCACACGCAAAGAATTCCTACAACTCAACCAAACAACCCAATTTAAAAATGGGCAAAGGAGGGCTTGGGTTATGGCTCAGTGGTAGAGTGCTCGCCTAGTATGTGTGAGGCCCTGGGTTTGATCCTCAGCACCACATAAAATTAAACAAATAAAAGCTTAAAGATTATAAAAAAAAAAAAAGAAGAAGAAAAAAAAAGGGCAAAGGACTTGAATACACATTTCTGCAAAGATAAAACAAATGGTGAATAAACACATGAAAAGATTGTCCTATCATTAATCATTAAGGAACTACAAACCAAAACCATAAGACAGCACCTTCTATCCCTTAGGATGGAAACTATCAAAAAAACAGGACATGAGTGCTGGCAAGGACATGCAGAAACCAGAACCCAGAGAACTGCTGATAGAATTTCTGGAAGCTGGTCCAGCCACTGTGGGAAGCACATGGCAGGCCTCCAACACTTCCACTTCCATCCACAACTCCACTTCTTGGTGTATCTCAAAAGAATTAAAAGCAGAGATATGAAGAGATACATGCAGGTCTTTGTTCACAGCAGCAGTATACTCAATAATTAAGACAGAGAGCAACCGGAGTACCAATCAACGGCTGAGTTAGAAAATAAAACTGTGTGTGTGTGTGTGTGGGGGGGGAGTATTAAAAGAAATATTTGGGATTCATCTATGACCCTAAAACCCTTGAAATTTCTTGATTTTCTTTAGTTATAGAGGCCCCTAGACAGACTCAGGATGGGTCTGGCCACAAAAGGACTAAAGTAATTAGAGGCGTGAAACTTTTAGCCCTATATACAACTCCAGTAAGGGGTGAGGAAGGGGCTTCTGGGTTAGTGAACACATGGGTGTGCTGAGAAACTGGGGTTGTTCAGAGAGGGTGTGAAAGCTCCAGGCCCTTCCAACCCTATGCTTCTTCCATGCAGCTGTCCCTGAGGTGTAGCCTTTATAGTAACCTAGCTGTCCTAAGAAAAAAATGTTTCCCTGAGTCCTCCAGCCATTTTAGCAAACTACTGAACCTGAGGCAGGGGTCATGAAAACCCTCTTTCGGCCAGCACAGGGACTCATGATGGGCATCGAAGAGAGCAGTTTTATGGGACTGAGTTTATTAACTTGTGGAACCTGATACAAACTCCCAAGTAATGTCAGAAGTGAACTTCAGCTGAACAACAACAAAAAATTGGAGAATTGTTTGCTGTGGAAGAAAACTCACACACATCATGTAAGAAGTGTTGTTAGATAGAGAAGTGGTTTTCTATTAACATACACTGGTTAAAAACAAAGGAAATTCTTATCATGCTAAGTGAAAGCCTATCCCCAAAAAAACCAAAGACTGAATGTTTTCTCTGATCAGCAGATTCTGATCCATAGCAGGAGAAAGGGTAAGGAAGAATGAAAGAACTTTGGATTGTGCAGAGGGAAGTGAGGGGAGGGATGGGGTTGTGGGGATGGGAGGGACTATAGAATGAGAAGTAATAATACATATATTATTACTCTCTATATGTGTATGATTACACTACTGGTGTGACTCTGAATCACATACAGCCAGAGAAATGAGAGTCGTGCTCCATTTGTGTACAATGTGTCAAAAATGCATTCTACTGTTGTGTATAACTAATTGAACAAATTAAAACAAACAACAACAACAAAAGAACCCAAAGGAAATTCTGGCATGTGCTATACAACATGAATGAACTTGAAGACATTATGCTGAGAAGTTCTAGGGGTGGATGGTGGGTGATGTTTGCATAACAATAGGTATACACTTAACAACACAGCATAAAAAATGGGGAATTCCACATTATATATATTTTTACCACATTTCTGGGGAGAAGATACACACACTCTGACCATTATTCACAGCTGTAAAAAGCTTTAAAAACCACAAATTTAGCAAAAGTGATTTTTAAAAAAGGAATACAGGATCAGAGGGTAAGGTCACAAGTAGCTAAAAACTGTAAGGTAAGACTATTTCAAAACCAAAATACAGGGGCTGGGGTGCTGACTCAATGGTTGAGTGCTTGCCTAGCACATTCAAAGCACTGGGTTTGATTCTCAGCACCACATAAAAAATAAATGAATAAAATGAAGGGTATTGTATCCATTTACAACCAAAACAAACAAAAAATTCACACTCACATAATCAAAAACTACATTTTTGGGCTGGGGTTGTGGCTCAGTGGAAGAGCACTTGCCTAGCATATGAGAGGCACTGGCTTCAATCCTCAGCACCACATAAAAATAAAGAACATAAAGGCATTGTGTCCATCTACAACTAAAAAATATTAACAACAACAACAACAAAACCCCTATGTTCTTTAATAACTAAATACCTTTGCTTCCTCTGCCATTTTTTTCTCTTCATCCACTTCTTCAGTTTTTACTGAATCTTCACTTTGGAGTTTTCTTCTCCTTTGCTTGGGAGCCATGAAGCCTTGGAGAAATTTCTTTATGACACTGGCCTGAAGGGCAATGACACACTCACCAAAATCCTTCAGTTTTTCTAATGAAATGACCTACAAGAAATAATTTAAAAACTAGATTGAAAAAAGGCTGCAAGAAAAACAAACAAAGTCATCTTTAAATTCAAATCAACCTAGACTAAAATATCAAAGGCCACATAACATAATTTACCACCTGTGTTTCTTAGTTCACTAGATGGAGTATACATTTAAAAGTTGACTACTTCCATTCCCCCAGTGATAGGATACATAGAATGCTGAAATCTCACTCACTTCAAGAGTTACAGAACTCATTCATCTGATAATACTGAGCACCTACCAAGTGTAAACTATAGTCTTAATGCAAAGACAAACTGAGGAAAATCAAAATTTACTGGTTTTCTGGCTTAGTTACTTAATTGTCAAGTAATATGCTTGATGTTATTTAAGCTTCACAACTAATTTATGGATGAGAAAACTGGAGTTAAATCACATCATCAAAATCATGCTCTCAGATTCCAGATTCCATTCTGGGGGAGGGGGCAACCCCACTAGGACTGCAGGGCTGGGCTCTGTTTCTTCAGGCAGCTCCTGGAACTCTGAGAACTTCTAACAGCACTTGGTGGAGTTGGGAGTCATCACTCAAGGCTTGCTTGGATTATTTTGAGTCGGGATTAAGTCAATGGCACCAATCAAGAAGAAAGTTGAATCGGTGTATATTAGTGTAGCCAGAAGTTTCTGCATATTCCAAGACAGAATGTTTTTTCCTACAAAAAAGACTGCAGCTATCTGTCCAGTAACCAGCACAAGTTATC